TTTTTTTTCGAATTGTGGTATGCATGCTTACTGCATCAGTTGGTTTCTTGTGAGATAATTTTGTGTCATATGTATCGCGTTAGAGGGAGCCATTCCAATGATCGCGGATATCTGACTTAGTCTCATAAAAGCGTCTCGAATTTTTTTTTTGTAATTTTTTTCTCGGTACTTTCAAAGGCGTATCCACAAAATTCAGCAAAAATTATATTCCCGAAGGACTAGCCAGCCTTCGCAGAGCCAAGTCCATGCAATCAATTCTGTTTGAGACTTCTAGAAATTATTTTCATTTACAGAGCCAGTCCTTATTCTGGAGATGGACATGGGCCGTTATCTGGTTCCGCATAGTTATCAGTCGGTATTGTGCTATCTGGATGATTGTGGTACGTTTTGATCTCATGTGTATACATTTCATTGTATAATCTATGTAATCAAGTTTCTGTATAAATATTTCGTCTAAAGATCAATTCAATATAAATGTCATGTTCAGGAAGGAGCATCAATACTCAATGGCCTTGGTTATAATGGAAAGGACCAAAAAGGACGAGATAGGTGAGTTTTGTTTGACAATGTAAAGAGCATAGCAGTTTTTTTTTCGATGATGGTATTGGAATATAATGCATTTTCCGTCATCTTTGTCTTTACAATGCCCATTATTTTTAACATTCAAACATCTTAAGTATTTGTGCTCTTTAGATGGGATGGCGTCAGAGACATCCATGTTTTGAAATGGGAACTGGGAAAAGATTTTACAGACTGCATCCAATCATTCAATTGTGGGACAAATACTTGGGCTAAAAAGTGAGTTATGCAACTTTGAATTTGAATCAAGTACGCAGAAGTAGCTTTTATTTTTTTCAGTCATGTCCTTCGACGGTTACGGTGGCTAGATAACAAACCGTTGGCACATGTGGCCACCCTAGCTTATCTAGCCATATGGCATGGCTATCACCTGGGATATTTCCTACTTTTTGGTCTGGAATTTGGTGCAGTGCATGCTCAGCAGCAGGTTTGCATTGGTTTTGAATGAATTGACGGTTGTGCATATCCCTGTTCTAGTTATACAAGCTCATTGATCGAACTCCTGGTTGGGCGGAGTTGATTGCAAAGCCAAATGCTCGACCGTTTATCCAGTTATTTGGACGTATAGTCACAGCATACACAATGGGATTTGCATTTTTAACGATGGGTCTTGTAAAGACAAGATATTGGATTGGGGTAGGTTTACTGTTCGACTATCAAATTAGATACAGTCGAGTAGATTTTCCGCTCAATATAGTGTGTTTGCACTGTAGGTGAAATGCG